GTAAAGGGATACGCGTTGCTAGTCTGATGTGTACAAGGACAGTTGATATTTACCCTTCAGACGCAATGTCAAATACGATTGAAAGCGAAAGATCGCGAAAGATGCCCCGGTTACTTCGGTCTACCGGGGCGGTGGCCGTTTCTGCGCCCGTCGTCGTAGTCCTTCCGGGGACGCGTCCGCAAGCCCGTCGGTCGCGGTTCGTTCGCCGTACGGCAGGTCGACCCGGGCTCCGTCCCCGTGTGTCGCCTCGGCGCGTGCCCGCGGTCTTGGCCGCGGGTCCGCCGTCGAAATATTTTTTCACTCTTCGCCCCGGCGAGCGGCCCGTGTACGGCCCGGTGAATAGACGCGGATCGGCGTTGGCGGCAATGGTATTTTGTCGCCTGTCCGATGCGCCCGAAGCCATCACCCCCGCGGTGCTCTCGCTCCGGGTAGCCGTCGTCGTTCCCGGCCGGTCGCGCTAAGCCGCCGGGTGGTAGTTGTGCGATCGCAAAAGATGCCCCGGTGACCTCGGTCTACCTTGTTTTTAAGGCTCTTACTACAATTTGGCACCGGATACACGCCTACATCGACTGTCGGTGCGTAGCGGTACGTTCATCTACGGGGAGACGACCCGCCGTCAAGGGAGAGTCGCCGGGTAGACGTCAGCGCCGCCCGCGTAAAAAAAAAATCGTGCGTAGTAGTACGGTCTTCTACGGGGAGACGACCCGCCGTCAAGGGAGAGTCGCCGGGTAGCTGGGAGTCGTCACCGCGGTCCGTGATATTTCTCAACAATCGATAACCGGATATCTGAAAACGGAATCCGTTGGACGAGGAGCACCCGAGGTCAACCCCGTCGACGGCGACCATTAAAGACCGATTCAAAACCTTCAATACCGAAATTCTCGAACCGTGGCCCCGTGAGATTTTCGATGTTTTTCGGAAGTCAACATTGCCAGATTTCATCCGACGGCTTTGCAACTTTCAAACCTGATAGATAAATGAAAAAAAAACGTAAATGAACAGAGGTGGAATAGAGCTAGGACGAGATATAGTGTTAGGAAATAGTTGAAAGTGAATTCGACTTCTGACTTGTGTACCGGGTAGGCGGTCCGCGAACCACCCGGACACTTTGGATTTCACCGTGCATCGTTCCATCCTCCTTTTCCCCAAGATATTTTCCCCGTCAGTGAGTCTGCCACCGATTTTCCCCGGATTGACGTCCACCTGTTGATTCGAAAAACTTCTTATCGATCGGGCCGCCCCCGCCGCCGCTGCCATTCGCGCTTTGCCCGGTTATAAGACCCTCTGTTCGTTGAAAAGTTTAAGTCGAAGACCGTCTGACGGGGACAATATTTGGGAATTTCGAGGATTGAAGCGGGGTATTCATTTTTTTTCGACGCCGTCTTCGGGGTTGTCTTTACCCCGTATATGTCGGTGCGTAGCGGTACTCGTATGTCCATCCACGGGGTGACGACCCGCCGTCAAGCGAGAGTCGCCGGGTAGTCGTTGGCGGCGACCTCGTAAATTATATTGTATACGATTTGCCACTGGATACACGCGTACACGCCGCTTGACCGTTCATCGTGTCCCCTTAGTGAAATTTCACAAAAAATATTTTTTTTCCTCACGCGGTCCTAAACACCGATTACCCGGCGACTTGAAAAGCACGATAATCGGATGTGAAAACGTTCCCTTGAACTGATGAATTCGCCCTGTAAAATTTCTTCGCCATACCACTACGCGTGCATACCATCGTCGCATATTGTGAAACTCGACAATTTGTAAATGTGAGAGGCGTCAGGTCTTCGGCGTCCAGCCGCCAGTCGATCACGGCAGTCGTAAACTTTTTCGTTCCTGGTTGACTCATCGCTCCGCATTTTAAACATACATTTTTTCAGATGCAATGCTCAGGTACTAGCTGAATTTCCACACTACCCAAGGGGTATCAGCTAAAGCGCGTTTTTTTTTAAGTGGTATCCCCAAGAGGCCTAATCCACTGACGTCCCAACGTCGATCATTTTTTTTTATAGTGATTTCCCATTCGGACTAGTTCACTGACGGCACCTAAACCTTTTTTACTCTGTTCATGACTGCCTTTACTATTCGGTCTTTGTCACCGTGGATGAAATAATGGATTCGATTTTCTTTCGTTATTTGAATTATGGCCTGTTTTGAAATATTGGTGCGGTCGTAATCTTGTATGGCCAATTCATACAATATGTCGATTCGTCCCTCTTCGACTGAATTATCATACCTTGTTTTTAAGGCTCTTACAAATGACGCTGTGATCTCCGCTCCACTATTTGTTGTAATCTCATCTGAACCCCGCAGCTTCTCTTGTATTAGAGACTTCGTCATGTTCACGTAAGGTTCATTTCCAAATATTTCGACGAAGCTGTGATAAAATAAAATTGCTATCATCATGTTAATCGTTGATTTAAAAACATTCAGTAACTCACTTTTCCATCACTTCTTGCTCGAAAGCCGCCGTTTTGTCCACCATATTTATCCTTTCCTGGCGGCGGATGGCTTCGCTCGCATCCGGAAGGCGGTAAAACTTTAAAGCCGTGCTCTCTCCATGCTGGAGGCACGCTGCTACGGCTTTACCGACTTCCGGGTGGTGACCTCGGGACTTGGTCTCGATCATCCGTCGGAAGACGCATGCCGACAATTTTGATTTTAATACACCTGCGGAGAGTTGTGAGCCATAAATACGATTAACGTCCTCGTACAGCTTCATAACCCTTTGCCCCGTGGAAACGAACTTTAATACTCTCGAAACGTTTGCAATATAGTTTTTGCACGCTTGAGAGTCTTTTTCGTGGCCCATTTCAAGGTACCGTGAGTGGAGCACAATAATTGGATGATTATCGAGGAGTCTATCTTGGTACCCTTTATCAGCCAACTGCTTTCTGACTTGCTTGTACCTAGAGTTAACCAGAATGAAAACCGTTCATACACATAACAGACAATTGATTTTACAATGTTATCGTCAATAACTCACGGCGATTGCGACTCCGTTATCGCGACGTTATCATCGCGGACCGTGATTTCGGGTGAAGATGATACAGGATGTGGTTGTACCACTGGTGAAACGTAACACTTAGCCGTTGATATTCTTTCATCCTCGTAGTTTTTCGACCTGAAAGGGGCGAACGGGTCCTCGATCGTCGGGGCGTCGGGTAGACCCCAAGAACCTCCATACGCTTTGATGCGCCCCATCACACAAAGTCTAAATCGTGAAAAAAACTCTGTTTAAGTGGAATGCACATTCAATTTAAGAAAAATTCATATAAAGTTACTTGAAGGCGATTTTTCGGTAGGGTACATCATCCCAATATGGACCCAACTGGTCACGGATGACGTCCATCGGTATAAGCGACACCGATCGCCTGGACTCTGACCCGTAAACTTTTCCGATGCCACGTAGGCTTTTTTCGATCGGCGACTTCAATTTCTTAGGGTGTTTTATTCTTATATGCCTTGTCATTTCGTTATCGTCGGTTTGAAATTTGCAAAATGGACAGTACTTTATAAGCTGCGGAAAACCAAGACATAAAAATATTGATAGGATGTAAGGTAACATTTGCAAAATAATACTTACGCGATGTGTAATATGGCTGTTCGCTTTTTCTGTGACGTTGAGTCGGCTGTTTTTAATTCTCAATGGAGACGGCGCTATTGAAACAATTAGTATTAATTAAACAGAACGCCAAGCAAACATTGTTATAACAAAAATACTCACAGCGGACGACCGACGATTCGCGCGACGACGCTGCGAATGATATGGACGGTGACCTGTACCGTGATGGGCCGGGCATCGGCGACGGTGACCTGTACCGTGATGGGTCGGGCATCGTCGACGGTTCAAATTCGCGTTTGTATTTCTTTATAGGTCTAGTGACTTCGTCCACATAGTCAATGTCGTACACGTCACTTCGTGGCGGCGATGGTGTCCAGACTTCATGTACCTTAAGTGGCTTTTTAGTAGCTATAAATTAAAGCGTTATTTTAAAATGTATAAAAAATGTAATGAAGATAACACTTACGGTTCACCATTAGTGCTTCCTCCCCATCCACCATGATGGGTGTGAATGATACATCTTGAGTCATCTCATCGTCATCAATCAAAAAACGTTGATGAGTAGGCACTGGGGTCATACCCGGCTCGTCCTCGGTGAACGCATAAGGGTCGAATAAGGATGGAACAGCATCATCAGCAGCATTTTCGTTAGCTGTAAATTAATAAGTTATTATAAAATGTATTAAAAAATTCAGGGAGATAACACTTACAGTTTGCGACGTCTAACCACCGAGTGTGTGTATTTACGGGAAGCTGGGCCACGTCATCTTCCACGTCATCGGCCACGTCATCAGCAACGTCATCGGCCACGTCATCGACAACGTCATCAGCAACGTCATCGGCCACGACATCGTCCAACGGTTTTTCAGCTGTATAATATTTCATTATTTTATACCATAATACACAGGAAAGACCAAAAATTAACTTCAAAAATATTTTACTTTTAACGGGTGGCCTTGACGAATATGCCGATCGTTTGTGGACTTCCACCAAACGCTTAACCACCACTGGTTTACATGTTCTGCCTTTGAACACAACTAAAAAAAATCAATATCAATAAGCGATTATAGTTTATGACTAAAACTATTATTCATTATAAAATAATTTTACGATGTTACCTTTTTCTGGCACGAATTCCTCCAACCGTTTTGAGACGTTTTCACACGTCTCTGAAACTACCGACGGTTTTCCTACCGAAGACGGTGGTGGAAGAGACCCTAAAATTGTAACAAAAAGATATAATTCAATAATTTATACGGATGAAAAAAAAATTGACAATTCACCTTTGATCTTTTCAAAATTTTTGAGGGCCTTTTTCAAAGTGGTTCTAGGGACCTGGCATTCCCTAGAAGCACCGTTGACCGTAAATTTCATTTTTTGCACCAACATTATTGCCGTTGATAATTTCTCATTATGTTCGGCTTTAATATAGCCTCTAGATGCCTATAAATTTACAGAAACACAAGTATAAACCCGTGTATTGCAAAAGAGAAAATAACTTACTTTTTTGGGAACGATTTTCAATTTTTTGACCAGCTCCCTTAGAGTAGTCTCGGGCACCCCGTGGCCTCTTGCGGCCTGACAAATCGACAAATGACCCTGGGATATGGCGTTTAACGCACTTGTAACGTTTGCTTTAAACATGATCTATAATGTCAAGTAAAAACATACGATAACTTATGGGAACTAGAATATAGACAGCGTATAAAGACAAGTCGGTTCATAGTGGCATAGTCACCTACGGGGACATTCGAAACGTTCAAGGGGCAGCCGCCCAGTAAACGGCTTTCGCAATCGTGTAAGAAAAAATTATTTTTGAAAAACGCACCCTGGTGGAAGGTCGAAAGACATTCACTATGAAATAGACGGGCTACAATCGACGACGGCACGCGATAGTATCTTAAAGCAGTCTCCTCAGAGTGCTGTAGGCACTTCGCGATGCCCGTCGATGTCGTCGGATTGTGTGTTCTTCCCATCGTCTCCACCATTCTCCGAAAAACACTAGCGGACAATTTTGCACCAAAGGTTTTGCTCAGGTCGTCGTATATTTTTGTGATTTTATCACCTCTGTTGGTAACAAAAAAGTTGTTCCGTGTGTACCCTGTTCGAAGGCGGAGGCGGTAATATCTGACAACAGAAGACATAGATAAGGATTCGATCACGTGAATTCACATCTTAACAACTGATTACCTCTCCATCAAATCCGTCATTTGTTCGTTGAAAACGATGGTCGCGGGTTCCTTGTCGCCAGTCTTGTGGTCTTTCACTGTCACTATTAAATCGATGTTGTGGGTTTTACGCGACTCCCACTCTCTAATCGTCATGTTCACTGCGACGCCAGTCCTCTGTTTCGAGGTCCATAGTAAACTAATGGCCAGACCACACGTCACCTTACGCCAAAGGTTTGAAAGCTGAAAAATAAAAAAAACCGGTAAAGGTTTTCCAGGCGAGTGTAACGCGCAACACTATAACTAACTTGTTTTTCTGCAGGGGAGCTAGTTTTCTCGCTTCGTACGACGACTGTTCCCAAATTTGAAAACTTTTGCTCCAGCAGCGTGAGATTAGTGGGGATTGTCTCACTAATATCAATTATCGACCCGACAACCTTTGAGTAATCTGGCAAATTCTCGCCTTCTGTCGTTTTCCTCTCAAACAACTCCGTTGGCTGCTGCTTTGTGGTCCTTTTATATAACAGTCCCAGCTTGTGCCCTAAAAGCTTGATTTTGGTGATGGTTTGTACGCACGGCAACAGATCGAACCCTTTCGGGAACGACTGGTCCTCGTATATAAAGGAATTTATGACGTGTGAAAATAGTAGCCGTATGTTTTTCGTGTAATTGATCGTCGTAGCCTTGGTCTGCCCGATCTCCTCTCGGCTGTGTACAAAATTAAAAAAAAATAAATAGTTTACGAATCAATCATTTTTTAATCGTCCAACGAGTCCTTACCGTCGAAAGAAGTCGACGTAAAATTCGACATCGGCCGAAACCAGATCCGCCCACTGTTTCGGTGGTAAATTATTGGCGGCCAGTTGTTGGTGCACGTAGCACAACACCCGCGAAACATTGGATACGTAATTTTTTGCTGCTTGCAAATCATTCCCGTGGCTAATTTCCAACGTCTTTGTAAACATTACAATCAATGGATGATTGGGTGGAAGCTGAGGGTTAAGACCTAAAGCTTCCGAAGCCTTGCTCAATTTCCTGAAAATAAAGTTAAAAATATAAATAAGACATTAAGGCTTTAAATTAATAAAAAAAACCTTAATCGAAGGTTTCGACTCGAACTATTTATTAGGCAATACTCACGATTCCGAAGATTGTGCATTGATTTTTGTCATCGTTACGTTTTCCGGGTCGGCTGGTCTGCCTGATGTGCCGGAAGGTCCAGGTATCGAAATGGTTTCGCCGGAGGTTTCCGGTATAAGAAGGACTGGCACCGCCGGTGTCGCAGATACATTCATCACCGGTGTATCGGGACCGAAATCGCTATCGGTGAAAAATTCCTCAAATGGGTTTGACGTATCTGTTACATCAGGAAGATTCCAACTTCCGCCATACGTCTTCATCCTTCCCATGGTCGTAAGTCTAAAACGGAAACAACAAATTAACTATGGTGCTAAAAAATATTGATATATTGCACAATTTACTCGTGGGCGATGCTTCTAAAACACCTGTCATCCCAATATGGGCCCAACTTCTTCTCTATCACCCGCAACGGGACAACGGAATAGGACTTGCGGGATTCCGAGGCAATGTGTTGGCATATCTTTCTGATGTTGAGGTCTCGGGGCTTTTTTATCTGCGACCTGTGGCGGTTTGCAAGGTGCCTCCCAAGCTTATGGCCAACAGTCATGAAGTCACACACCGGACAATATTTAACCATCTACGGCACAAAACGTATCATAATAACAATTTCGATTTAGATAAGTAAACACACATACCTGAGTATCGACTTTCAGTGCGTTGCGTTGCGCAACATTTAGTCTCCGTGGTCCCCGGCGTCCGTTGTGGGTTGTTCGACAAACATCAGAGGCTGTCACTGGTGCGGTCGACCACTACGCACGGTGCGGTATGAAAATACGATTTGCCACCGGATACACGCGTTGACTTCGGTCGACCGGGGCGGTGGCCGTTTCTGCGCCCGTCGTCGATTTCGGGCAGCCCTTCCGGGGACGCGTCCGCAAGCCCATCGGTCGCGGTTCGTTCGCCGTACGGTAGGTAGACCCGTGGTCCGTCCCCGTGTGTCACCCCGACGATCGGTACGTGTCCGCGGTCACGGCCGCGGGTCCGCCGTCGAATTTTTTTTTCAATACCATTTTGCCGTACCACTACGCACGGTAAATATTTTTTTTTCCTCACGCGGTCGCATACACCGATTACCCGGCGACTGCCCCTTGACCGTTCATCGTGTCCCCGTATCGTACCTCTGTCGTCGCGGAGGCCGTGTGTGCACGAAACCGTACGCTCGGCTGTGGTTTCGCTAGATACCCGACCCGGGTGGCCCCCGGCCCGAGTGCCTACGACTCCCACGTCTGGGGCGCCCGTCCGACGCCGACTAGGACAAAATAATCCCCGGTCGATGCACGGCACACTTGCCGGGCACGGGGCCGCGGTCCGACCCACACACGGCCCCTCCGTCGTCGCGGCGGCCGCATGTGCACGAAACGACGGTCACGGCGCCCCGTACCCTCGGCTGTGGTTTCGCTAGATCTACGCCGCCTTGACCTGATTGAATCGCGCTTCTTGAAAGCACGGTAATCGGATGTGAAAACGCCGCCTTGATCTGATTGAATCGCCCTGCTTGAAATGCACGATAATCGGATGTGAAAACGCCGCCTTGATCTGATTGAATTCTCCCTGTAAAATTCCTCCGCCGTACCACTACGCGTCCATACCTTCGTCGCA